GATCCTTATAACGCTACAAGGTTACTGAGAGGCGAACACGTAACATCTTTCTCCGATTTACGAGAAAATAATTATAAATTTTATAAATATTTTCGCTTATCTACAAGCAGTTTCGACGAATTACTCTGCAAGTTAGAGTTTTCTTTACGACGATCCAGCTTACGTTGCATACCCATAACTCCTGTGGAAAAATAGGCGATCACTCTAAGGTAAGTGAAATAAAAGAGTATTGAATAACTATAAATGATAATATTTATTTTGCAGAAACATGGTGGTGTATGTTGTATAATTTCTAGTTTTTGTAGCTAATACTTAATCACCAACGTCTTTAATGAGGATCAATACTAGACCGACAAATCAACTCAATACAGATACAGATTTATAGAGCTAAGAAATCATAAATTTTTTTGTTCTACGATTTTGAAAATTGAATTGAAAATGACCTAATTACAAGCGAAGTTCACTGACTGGCCCACGACTGGCCCTAGGCGTATGGCATTAATGAGATTTATCAGAAATTTAAAAGTCATCCTAACACGGTGTAATGTACTCGTATTTTCATACAAACTTTACTGACCTAGGATTTTCTTAGTTTTGGCTAAGGTTGTCAAAATAATGTATGTCTGACTTACCTGTATGTCATGGATTTCTTAACTCTATAAATCTGCTAAAATCAACTAAAATCCTTACTGATCTTCATTATGAGTCTCATTCATAACATTCATTGATTCAACTATCGAGCTGTACGCAGCAGATGAGTGAGCAGAATTTGAGTTATTATCCTCAGTTGGCGATATGACATTTGAAAAAGCTACTGCAGATTCATAGAGCTGTTCAGGTGTAGAAGTGGTAGAATAGTTATAATTAGGATATGGCGATGATCGCGTTGTGCAATTGTATGTAGAATTTGCGTTCAGACTAGAATTAACATTATTTTCTGGCGGTGATAAAAAGCTAGGTGTCGAAGTTGTTGGAGGTGAAATTTCAATGACTAATCCTAGAACCTTTGAGCGAAACTGCAGCTTTTGATAAGCACTTAAATTATTTAGAATCGGAGCAAGAGACTCAAAAAATGACAAATCATCAGGACTTAGGTTGGAAGTGGAAGTATTTTGGTTCAACAACGTTATTAATTCGTTTTCAAAATTTGATTGATCGGATTTCCGTTTATTTCTCCTCTTTTGATTCCATCTGGGAGTATCATTACTATTTTCTGTGTTTTCTTGTTGTCTTTGGAACTGGGATGGAGTACTCAAGTTACTCGCAGATGTAACTGCTTCATATGTGTCTCTAGTAGTCAAATCTTCAGATACGCTAGACTGATTATCGCTTAATGAATCTGTGACTTCATTTTCTGAAGTACGATCAAGGAATGTCATTTGCTCGAAAAACAGATACTTCTTGTGTTTTGCAGCGTTTCCCGATGGCGTATTTCGCATATTCCCTTTTGTTCTGAAATAATTATCTCTCACTGATTTCCATCGCTGGCGTATTTGTTTATCTGCAATAAAAACATATTTTTATGCACGTAATGAAATTTAATGAAAATACTTTTTTGTTTCAGGTTTTTGGCAACGGGCTGTACTTTCTCCGATTTATCCATCGCATACAGAATGGGAATTACTACTGTAGCTAATATAGTAAATGAAGTTTGTTCGGCTGTATGGCAAAATCTTCGTCATGAATGTATACCTGAACCAACTACAGAAATGTGGCAGCGTATTACTGAAGAATTTGAATTATATGCAAATTTTCCAAATTGTTGTGGGGCGAAAGATGGTAAACATATACGTGTAATAAATCCGGCAGGTGGAGGCTCTATGTTTTATAATTATAAACATTTCTATTCTATCCTCCTTTTGGCAATGTGCGATGCGAACTATTGTTTTACCTATATTAACATTGGGTCTTGCGGAAAAAACTCAGACTACAATATTTCAAGAGAGTTCACTTTTTCGAAAGTTACAGAACAATAAATACATTGAGGTTACCTGGTGTAAAACATCTGCTGGGCACTAATATAACACTACCACACATTATAGTTGGTGATGGTGCATTTGGTATATCCAACCATGTGATGAGACCTTATGTGCGATCCAACATGACTCATAAAAAGAAGGTATTTAATTATCGCTTAAGTCGTGCTAGACGGTACATAGAGTCGACGTTTGGAATAATGTCCAACAAATTCAGAGTGTTCCATACTCCAATGAGTGTCAGTTTTCCTGTCGCAAAAAAGGTAGTTCAAGCCTGTTGCATATTGCATAATTTTATTAGAATACGGGATGGCTACAACGTTAATGACACATTAACTATAACGGGAATGACTGATTTAGTTGACCAACCAGATCATAGATCAGGAAACACATTACGCGATATATTCGCTGATTACTTCGTATCACCCACTGGTAGCGTGTCATGGCAAGATAGATCTGTGTTATGATTTTTTAGTTGATACCTACTTACCACGAAATTCAATAAATGGAACGAAATGCAGTAATATTGTCGTGCTTAAATTGATTTACCTACCTATCTACCTAAATAATATTTTTCATTAGTACCAGACAATACATGCAACAAAAATTATTTTATTAAAAAATTTTTCTTACCTAAGGCTGTATTGAAATTTTCACCACACAATTCCTTTCCAATTTCTTCCCATGCTTTATTTTTCGCATCCTTATTCTTGTATGAATCTTCGGCCGGGTCCCATAAACATCTAAATCGCACTTCCTCAATTACTCGCCCCGTGTCGATGTAATTCATTTTGTACACAACAATACCTAACGGCGCGTCTCAACGGCGTCACACTAAAACGCATACTGAATGCTGAAGCGCCCGAGCGGCGCGCGCTTCGGCAGCGCCGGCGAACAACGCGCGTTTACCGAACGGCGCTGCTCAAGCGCGCGACTTTAAAACGCAACTACTACCCCAATACATATCCGAACGCGCGCGCACCAACAGCGCAGCCGAAACGCATAACGATAAAACCAGCCTAAAATGCACAAAAATGACTTTTAGGAAAAAAAAAAAAACTAACACTAAATAAGTAGTCATATATTCTTTGAAAACAAACAAAAATCATGCGGATAGCATTTATCTCATTTAAGAAATATGTATATTTCTAAAACAGTTCTCATACACTCAGTAAAATCACTCAGATTATCAGTTTTTTTTTGTTCTATACACTTATGGAAAAAGAAATATTAAATCAAAATACAAAAAGAACTCTTTATCCCCATTCCAAAAAGGTATAACACTTGTACAATGTCATAATTTAAAATCATAAAAGTCAAAGCTAAACAAAAAACTCGCTGAAGTACCTGTCACCACAATCAGTAATAAGGCTGACTACACACTATAACAATATCCGGAAATTTTCTACTGTAACCGGAATTGTTTTGTACAAAAATATATTATTCTTATTAATCCTAGTATATAATGTAATGCTTAACTAGTATATAGACATAAGTATATAATATAATATATTTTGTATATATTTAAAAAAATTAAGTAGTAAACTTAAGTAGTAAAAAACTATAACAGGATCCGGAAATTTTCTGCAGTATCCGGAATTGTATTTTACAAAATTTTTTTTATATAAAAGTTAAAGCTAAACAAAAACCATGATGAAGTAGGAACTACTACCATACCCAGTAATAAGGCTGTATGATACTACAACAGTATCCGGAATTGACAAAAATATAATATTCGTACTATTACTAGTGCAATGCCTGACTAGTATAAAAAAAGTAATAAAAAGTAAAGTAATAAAGTAGTAAACTAATATAAAGTCTTTAAATTGTTATATAATACTCATGTACGACTGTAATAATCAATTGTTATTAGGCCAAATTTTTGTGGTATTGTGTATAACACCCCTCTATACACAAATTCATCCGGGACGTACCACACCTCCACACTGTCGTACGCCGCACTTTGTGTTGGTAACACAATTAGCACCGCTGCGTTTTTGTCTTTAAAGGCAAGTGCATCTGTGCCAGCGCGTTTGGTGGTGGTTGTGGTGGTGGGTTTGTTGGAGAGTTATTTGTCCAGCATTTCCTTTGTAAGTCTCATCCGGTAATTTCGATTTCCGAGCTTGGCGGAACCCGTGCGGTCGTGGTCGTATATCACCGAGGCATTGAGTACCGACACGTTCAGAAGTCGGCGGAACAATTTTTTGTACCAGCATAAATTTCTGCTCCTTTCTAAGGGGAAGCTGCTGAGCAGCTGATCTTTGCGGTCGATGCCTCCCATAGAAAGATTGTAATCTAAGATTACTTTGGGCCTGTACCTAATAAATAGCCGTATTTAACGGTTGCGCTGACTTCAGGCTGGTGATAAGTCGATATCATCGGCACAATGTTTTTGTCCATGTATACGACCACACATAGATCCTTGGTGGAGCTAAAAGCCACTTCACCAGCCTTCATATTTTTTTTTGTTTTAGCTTTCAGCCCCTCAGGGACAAACTCTCTATTCAGCCGAAGCGTGCCCATTGTGTCGGTTTGGTGTTTCAATTTTAAGAGCCTGGATAGAAGTGGTGAGTTATAAAAATTATCCATCACTAGCGTGTAGCCTCTTCCAAACAATGGTCTCATAAGGTTAAAGACAATTTGGGATGTGGCATTCTCCGGCTTATCGTCCACTTCCTGCCCTTCAACCACAACCGCATCCATTTCTTGCGGGACATGAGCATGCCCCTTGCCTGAATAGACTTCCATTTTCTACAGATAGCCCGTCCGCGATTCGCAAATTTCGTAGCTTTTTGTACCTTCCCGAGCCCTTTTTGTGGCAATTTTTTGGCTAAACGAGAGTCGCCCCTTCCATAGAAGACGCGACTCGTTGATTGCTAAGTTCTGCTCGGGAAGGTAAAGCGAGCTAAATTTTTGATTGAGTCTTGCGACAATGGGCATTATCTTGTCGAGTTTAGAGGGATGTTCAGCCAAGGCGGAATTGTCTGCAAAGTGCAGGCATCTCTTAATTAATATAAAGCGGTTTTAGGGCATGATTTTGCCAAAATCCCCAATCCGCATTTGTTCATTGCTGGGATACCAGTATTCGCGCTCCACGTTGTTTACTACTACAGATTGAAGCAACAATATGGTAAGGAATTGCCACATTTCCTCCCTGTCAACGTCCTTCCACCGCTTCATCCTGGACGTGAGCTTTCCAGATCTTTTAGATTTAAGATTATTCGCGTATCTGTTCGTTTCAGTAACAATGAGGTCGATTATATTGGTATCCCAGATTTCTTCGAAGACCTGCAGTGGTGACAACCCCGAGTGGTCAAAAGTTGGGCCTGACGATCCAGTGAACTCCTCCCTGACGCCCTCAAAATTTTTGATATCAGCGCACCAATCAAAATATAAAACGTCAACTTCACCCGCAGCAATAGTTCGAATGGCTTGGTCCTCTTCAGCGTCTAAGCGCATGAGTTCCGAGGCCTCTGTAAGCTTCAACTCGTTTATATCCTCGGCGACAACGTTACTCGGGTTAAGCAGAGGGCGCAAGGAAATATCCTCCTCAACATCTTCATCCGGCTCAACTTCACTACCGCTATTTGGATCCATGTCGCACTCGATCTCGACATCAATCTCGAGGGAAATATTAGATGCGGCGCTCCTGCCCGATCCACACGCCTCTGTTCGAGAAGTGCCGGATGTAGGTGTGAAATTGACGTACTCTATTTGTATTTCAGCTGTCACAGGGTTTGCGGGCAATTCCGTGGTGGAACCACCTGCACTGATGGACTGAAATGAATGCGCCGTTTCTTCGCTCGAGGACCAGTCGGTGTGTCATCAATATTCATTTCGTCCCTTTTTTTTCGACTGCCACTAAGTCCAGGAAAAGGCCCTTGCATATCAGGTGAAGGCGGCGTGCCTTCGATGATGTCATCGCCATCATCCTCCGCTGCTGCTGTCTTTTCTAAAAGAGGCCCTTGGACTATAATTAATGAAGGCGTGCCTCTAATAGCACCATTGTCATCGCCATCATCCTCCGCTGCTGCTGTCTTTTCTAATAGAGGCCATTGGACTATAATTAATGGAGGCGTGCCTCTAATAGCGGCATTATCATTATGCACTGCTGCTGCTGCTGTTGTTTGCTGAGACTGCAGAACCTCCCAAGGCTGCGGTATTCTCGGGGGAGGAATGGATGGTACACCAGGTACGAGCGGGCAGGGGATCCACTGGCGGTCGTCGGATCCAGTTTCCTTTCCCTTCCCTTTTCCTTTTCCCTTTCCTTTCTTAAAGTCAGATGCGTCGGTCATTTTATAATTTCCCACCTGTTTCAAGTCTTTCAGGCGCGTTAACTCCTTTCGCTGTTCAGTCCTCAACTTTCTAATATGTTTAGTGTCAGCAGCCTTCGCAGACTTTACTTGTTTTATGCCTTCTGCCAAAGACTTCACTCCGGATGGACCTGGCGTAGGCTCCGACGCCGCGCCGGACGGTCCAATGGGTTTGGCACTAAACACAAAAACATTTCAAAAGTAAACATAAATCTCGGATGATTTGATATTCGTATGCATGTATGTATTAATGTCTGTCCGACGATACCTCAAGTATCATTGATCCGATCTTGATGAAACTTTGTAGTTAGGTAAAAGGATTAATATATTAAATTTTTAATTTCGTATATCAGACGATGAGGGGCGAGCTACTAGTCTTAATCCCGTACATACATACATACATACACATTACGCCCGTTTCCCTCAAAAGTGGTAGGCAAAGATCACGGAGGCCCATCTTTTAATACCACCCAGATAATAATGCCAACAAAATAAACTTTACTTGTTTCCAGAGAACTTCAATAACTGTTCCACTCCATCCTTAGTTCAGTTAACTAATTCAAGCCATAAATGGAAATTGAATAGGTTAACAATATTATTATTATCATTATTATTATATTTTGATATACCTTTTTGGAAACTTTAAAGCACGTGCGCGTGCGCAGCGAGACTTTTTGTTTCGCGGCATGATGACAAGCGCAACCTAAAAGCGAAAATAAAACTATACATGCACCAGCACCAAAAAAAAATAGAACACCAAAAGTTTGCTGTTATTTTTAAGCATACTATAAAAAAACAAACAAAAAAAAAACGAACAAAATAAAGCCCAAAAAAAAGAAACAAACAAAATAACGTCAAAAAACAAACAGCGCACCCTAATACACATATCTTGTATTTTTAGCTAACTTTACTTTCCACTTTAAAATTTATCTGGTTGAATTAATTATTAATTAATTATATTATTAAATTTTCATTTTATTTTTAATTTAAAATTTAATTTCATATTAATAAATTAATAATTAATTAATAATTTATTTTATTATTATTTATTAATTTTATATTAATAATCCAGGGTATTTTTGAAACGCTCCCGAAAACTAAGACAGGCGACAGCACCAAGTATACCTTTGATCATGGGTCACAAATAAATTTGATCCTTATGAAAAAAAATATCATATTTTTACAACGTTTTATTAGCTTTATTCACGCGCCATCATGTTAGTACAGCTAAATGTAACGATAATTTCATAAAAAATATCATGAAAATACTGAAACATAAAACCAGCAGTGGAAACTGAATTTATATCACCTGACTAATGGAGGTTAATGTTCGCGCGAACGGTGAAAAAATAACGCTGGCCTTGAACTTGGGCACTGAGCGATTTATCACATATTGGTACAAAGGGGGCGCGAGGGGGGAACAATCCGCCAGTATTACTGTGCTTGCATGCTACTGGTTCCGGCGCTTTGTTCGCTCCAAAAATACAGTCGCATACACAGCTTACTTTGCGACTCGCGACGATGTTTTAAAAAGGAAGGAAAGAAAAATTATTTATATCTATTGTTTTATGACTAAACTAGTGAACGAAAAGGTAAGTATGATAGGAGAAGGTGAATGGGAAAAATTGTGCAGTAAAGTTAAAAGTGTTGAGGAAGAATACCGAAAAAATTACCATGTGATCGACCTGATGACGGAAGCTCAAGCGAAGATGAAAGTGATGATGAAGTAGCATCCAGTAACATTAACACGCCATCAACATTTGGCTTCCATGTGGCCGAAGACGTCATAATGGACGGCGTGTCACCCTTAGTTTAAGTTTTCTTGTTACAAACTACTTTATATTTTACGATAGAAATAACAACTAATGCTCAAGTAAACATTATCCATTTTTAATTCCCACCTCTTCCAAAGTTCTAAGTAGCTAGTAAAACACCTATTACCCACCTATTAAACACCTAATACCATGTAGTAGTTTAGAACGCGACTGTACCCACACTCCCTCCGCTGTCGACCTGTATCTAGCTCGGTACGAAACAATGCTGCGGTCATAAGAAAAAAGGGCGCATCTAACAATTTTTGAATAAATGAGTTAAATATACCATTCGACTCATGATAAGAAGGCGCATCTACTAAATTTTTTAAATATTCACAAATATCAATATTTTAGAAATTATCGTAAGAATTTTAAACATAACTGTTGATCACAGATGACATTTTTTTAGTAGAAAAGACTTATACAAATTCAACATAAAAGAAAAGACTAATTTAACCAGTTGCTACGTCATCTTTGCATCGATTACTTAAATTTCAATTATTCTTGTCTTATTATTCTATATCTTATTAAGAGCTTATATCTTATTATTAAGAGCTGGTGTTTCACATGTGGTCCCATATAAATTTGATCGAGGTCAGACCAATAGTTTTTGAGTTATCTACTCGTATTTATATGAAAGTTGTTTGTACAAAATTTTTAATTTTTAATTATTATCGTAGTAAGTCTTGTATGATATCCCCTTTAAAATCATTACTCAAGAGTTGCGGGTTGTTATTTTTGTGTCTCACTACCAATGCTTTTCTAATATTTACTAAGAAAAAAGTAGTAAATTACTATTAGCGTCCTTTCAACTTCAAATGACCTTTCCAAAATATGTAAAAATGTTAAATGAATGGCAGTTTTTTTTTATTTATTAGGTTGGGAAGACGCAAATATTTATATGCGTCTTTCCTTCGATGTTTTTGTGTCGCCAGGTGTATTTTTTAATCTAAAATGAAAAGGAAAAATCGTTTTATTTAAATAAATAAACAAATTATCAAAAAAATAAGTTCGTCCTTAAAATCTTCATGTCTCTACGTATATATTTCAATTTTCATATAGATACCTTTTAATATACTTTAGACACGGGGTCTCAAAGAAAAATTCATCAATTTATTTTTTATTTCCATTTTACGTTTTTGTTAGGTTGCGTCCTTCTTTATTATGACGGCAGAATGTAACCCGGCCGGCTCGTGTCGCCTCACGCTGTGACGCAGTAGGTTTCAGTTTTATGATTAACAGATTTAACTTCTAAAACGAATTTACTAGGAAAATACAATCAAAACGATCAAAATATAGGCAATCATTTCAATGTTGCGCGCAAACATGTACCTACCGTATGTTGTTAGGTCTCGAAAAAAGGTTAAATCTTTGTTTCATGTTGGAATTTTTATATCTACGTGTTAGCTATTTACTTACCTTTATGTTGACAAAAAATCTCCAAGAATAACACTGGATTTATGAGGAAAATCACTTTTTTATCGCACCACATCCCTCACCGAATCAAGCATGAATCGAACTGGAGTCAAACGGAACGTTTTTATTTTTTTTCTTGACTTTTGTCTATGACTTGGATGCTTAACTGGGGTTGTGTGGAGAGAAATTTCACGAAGAAACGGGACAAATAATACAAATTAGGCCCTGGAATGATAGAGACGGGTAGAATCAGCTTTTTTGACGGCGGGAGCGATGTTAACCACAGGTTGACATGGTCATAGCTGAGTGAAATGCAATGTCAACTACCAGTTAACACGGGCAAAGCGGACTTCAAGTTTATGTTAACTACTACTTGACATGGTCAATTCTAAATTCTCGATTTGTTAACTACTAGTTGACACGGGCAAGCAAGCGGATAAATAAGTAGTCGCTGAATTTTGTATTGGTTGGGATTGACCTTGTTGAGAAGTTTGCAGAATTGACTGGGAACCTAGAAGTGTTTGGATTTCAACATTTGAATTCTGATAAAGTACTGGGCTAGGATTGTTTAAACCAGGACTGGGAGTATGTGAAACGGGGCTGGGAACGTTGTAACCATAATTAGTAAAACGCACACTAGTTGAATCAATCACTTGGTGTGAAATAGTCAAATTTTCCATTTCTGCGAGAAATAATGTTTCGTTAATTATTTTTTCGGCCAAAATACGTTGATGTTTTGTGAGGTCCCTCAGCTTGGCTGCAACATTTGCTCCAAAAATATCAAATCGATCATTACTAATTGCGGGCCTTTTGAAATGATTTTGAACAGACTGTAAAACTTCAGTAGTTAGGTTTTCATTTGCATTCCTTTTTGGCCAAATCCTATTAAACGATGTGTTTGCAATTGAACGAGTCTCTGGAATTGACTGTGTGGCTGTAGTGACTGTGAAGTTGACTGGGCGACCGGAGATGACTGTGAAGTTGACTGGGCAGCTGGAGATGACTGTGAAGTTGACTGGGCGGCCGGAGGTGACTGTGCTTCACTTTCAATTTC